CATTCAAGATGGCCACCACAGCTAAATGTAAAAGCCATTTTAGGCTCCTCAAGTGTTTACTGAGCTTTTGGTTCCTCTTAGATCTACTCAGTAACTCATGGAGCAAACAGTGGGAACTGTAAAGTTCCTACCGATTTAAAACTGATGTCTGACTGGAACCATTTCAGATAAGAMCTGAAGCATTTCTTGAAGGAAAACCAGCTTTGTTGAATAACTGAAATGTCACTTTTTAATGATTTGTGTTTAAGTTGGTTTATGAGTTTTCAGTGAGTTTTAATACTGTGATGTTTTTATTTGTTAACTGTATTTTACACTTTTATTTCATGTTGCTAACAGCCCATCTAGGGATGGGCATTGCAAATTAGTTTTGACTGTAAATGTTGTAGAATTGTTAATCATTGACACTTCTCTATTCAAATAAACAATAAATGAAATTAAATGAATTCCTGGCTGTGTCTCAGTTCATGGATTGTAGCCGACGTCGGCTGCATTTGTCACTGTAGACTGTCCCAATTCGTAGGGGCCTACACACACGGCCGACAAACCATGGGCTGCATCTGAGTATACATGGCCGACAGTATCCCAGAATTCATTGCATCACCAGCAAATTAAACAGGAAAACAAAGACGGCAATTTTTTTTCCTTTATGACTGAGTTTGAAATTTTATCACAGAACGAAAAATGTAAGTTAAACAACTTAGCTTGAGAAACTTTGATTGCAGTGAGATGTTATATAAAATGCAGTTACAAGTACTGATACGGGAGCTCAACCCACACCATTAATGCTTTTTATTTATTTACTTGTAACGTTTTTCTATTAAAGTTGAATTTTACAGCTATGCTATAATAAAACAAGCGGTGTGATATAAAACGTATCACATGGTAATGAGGACCGTCTCAATTCACAGCTGTTTATGCAGCCGACAGGAGCAGACAACGGTCTATATCGGCTGAAACCGGTTTGAAACACAACCGTTGACTGCTAATGCTAATCCCAAATTAAGCTAACCACTAATGCTGATTTTATAAATGGCTATCAAAAAACAATCTTTTTTGTCACTTCAGTAGAAAACAAAACCAAATATTAGTTTATTTAGTTTATTTATTTCTTCATCATCAGTGACT